GTTTTATATATTTTAAACTATTATTGTTAAACCAATAAGCGGCATAAAAGTTTATAAAATACAATTCAAGAACATATTTAAAATAGTAACACTAGGGATACCTTTTTTTGTATTATCAAAAACCACTGGAAGGATGTGTTTTAAATCGACAGATACCCTAAACATTTTGCATGAAATCGCTAATGACCTTCTGGAATTGCACCTATATCTAGGAACATAATCTATTTTACACAAGACTAGGAAGCTATCCATATTAGTCTTCACACCTACTTCTGAAATAGCCCTGGTAATAAAACTCTCAATTCATTCACTAGTTGAATTTTTATTTTCTTTCAAAATTGCTCATATTCCTAACCTGCTAATCCATATACACATGGTTTACCAGATACCAGAAATGCTGAATTTCTTGGATAATGGTACCGAAAAGGATATAACTAAAAGTATCTCTTGCTACTATAATGTTTCATACCACTGTTGGTTGCTCTTCTACTCTAAATATCAGTATTCGTTTTATGTCTCGAGTTCCAAACAATTATTCCGCGAGCTGTATGCAGCAAATAGTTAAATCGGTGTAATACTTGGATTTATGCATTAACAATCGAGTAGCAAAAAGAATGAGTTTTCACACACTTTCGTAATTGCACTTCCAAACCATGTTTGAATCAAACTATTTTAATTTACTCAACATAATATTCTTATCAAAATTGGCGAAAGAAACACATTGGTAACGCTGAGTTGAAGAAGAACTAGCTAATTGTTGTACGTAGTTTTTTCCAGTTACCGATTAAACTGACGAGAAGGTGTACCAACTATTTTATCGGTAACAACATGAGGGAGAATACAGTTAACTGACGTGAACCGCCTAGGTTCCAGTTGTATATAATCAAGTAAAATAACTCAGATTATTATTGAAACCAAGCTAGGTCATTGACCTTGTCCGATCTAGGCCCTGTTTTAAGTCTTCTGTTTCACATGTCACAGTCAAACACCACTACTGTATCCCGTCTAGTGTCTCTGTTCCGAATAATGTATCTCCGGTATCCCTTGTACTTGTAAAACACATTTAAGATCCGCTTTCTTTGTACTTGCCCTGAGACTCCCTTGTATAACTTTAATAGTATCAGCCCATGTTATCCTCTGTATCTATACCTGCTACTCCAAAGATGTCCCAAACTCAATATAACCAATAAATTATCTGTGTAAAGCTGATGCCCGATCCGATTTTTCACCCGACCTGTCAATTAATATAAATAACAGCATATTTATTTGGTCTCATATCTGTATTGATTTTATCGACTTTTCCTAGTGTATTGAATAAACCTTTTTTAATTTTGATTCCTGTTAATATATATATTAATACTAATACATATTTAATTTCTGTTTCTCTATTGGCACCTAAATAATCATTCTTTTCTGTTCTTGCTATGCCACGATCCTGAAATTAAGGGGCTTCTGTTCAACTTCATACCATTTTAAAATATGTGGGCAACAAAATCTGAACAATTCAGCCTATGCAAAGGTTCTTGGTGATTTATAAAGCAATGTTGAGAAATGCCCTTATATTTCAATAGAGTGTTTGTTGATATCCTTTCTATAAAGCAAACGCGGAGGACCTGGGTGAAGCCTCTTTCCTTTTCCTGTAACACATCTAAACTCCCCTGTGATAAGTCTACTTTGCTAGTCGTCATACTTTTTAGCCGCGTCATCTAAATGAGCATCTTCTTTTCCGCTAATTACTAAATAAAACAACTTGTGTTAATTTGAAAAATGCATGGGTCATAAAAAGACAAAGTGCCGTTACATTCATCATAATTTACAATTTATATTAAATATACTATGTGGCCACCTTTTAATATTGTGGGTGTCGATCCTCGATGTATCAAGGATCATACCGTATTCGCCGGGAAATTGTGAGTTACTGTTTCTGATACTACATACTTTGAGATTCCTTGAGCTAGTCAACAATGCACGTTGCTTAAAGAATTTGAAGAGATCGGCTTCCCTGCAATACTATTAGACGGACATACACTAAAAATAGAAACACTTCCTGATCTCGTAATTTTACTACGGCTGTCCGCGTCATAGAAGGAAGGGAATGTTTTTTTCATTGTTCAATGACGCTCGTCATGGACAATCTTGTCATTCCTCCAAATCGAATAATAAATATAGACTATTTAGTAGAGAACATTTAAATTGGATTCATAATATAAAAAGAATATGTTGAAAACAAACAAAGTCGCACTATTTAGATTTTGAATTCGGAAGCCCGTCTATATGAGACGAAAATTTGAGGAAAATTGAGCCAAAATGGTTTTCAGGTGTGACTAGGTTTTTCTAGAGCTAGAAAATAACTGGGGTATTTGTTGACTTAACTTTTCTCTCGAACTTTCTTTCATTTATAACAATTACTCATTCTGAATTCTTCTTCATTCTTCGGGATCTCTCCTACGCCTATTGATTAAATTGCTGTTGCCATCGGGGAATGCGTAATCTGGTAAAACTTGTATGAGCTGAAGGATGCCCTGACGAACGGTTATACTTTAAAAACTCTCTCCAAGTCGACTTAGGTCCGTTGAGAATTAATAGTCTGTAGTACTTAGTAATGCGAAGCTGGTTACAAGCACTTTAGGCAAATAATGCCTTTTCTGCCATCCTACGTGTTAGCTACTTATTTTGCTGAATAGTTCAAACGCTCTCTTCAAGTAGATTTAGGTCCGTTGAGAGTTTATAGGCTTTTTTTTTCGGTAGTCTTATGTTTGCTATCAGTATTTTAAGCGCCTAACGCGTTTCGGTTCTCTCCTTCATATTGATTGCTTCACCTGGTGTTCACGCTTTTGGTAAGTACTCTGCATAGTATATTAATCATTGCCAAACGAATAACTTTATGGTTCTAGTTGTTAGGCACAAGACAAGATTGAAATCCTGAGAACGACCTTATACCTTCTAAAACAAACCAAAGCGGTGTATCTTGTCTTCCCCAAAAGGTCTTGTAGTTGCTGGGAACAAACATTACATAGGTAAATACCTCTCTCTTCAAAAAACGTATACAACATTGAACTAAATTATATGTCAGTATCCCCTATCAGCTTCAAAGGATCTTTTCAAAGGCATCGTTCACGTTAATTTTGGTCTGGCGTTCGCTCTATCACATTATTCACCTTCTCAATCTCTATTAAATTTCGCCAATCTTGGATTATCAAATTCTGATTACTTAATCTTACCAATAAAACAAACCGCCTCGTCCAATTATATAGCTTAAACCTATAGTAGTTCTTCCCATGCAAATTAACGCGTATAAATACAGTGCACGTGTTTATGACAAAAACATTATTCCTTCCCCAAGACAAAATTACCACCTTTCCTTTATTCTTAATAAAGAGTTTTATTTCAAACCATTCTTGAAATGTCGCTTAACGTTCTGCTTTATAGTGTATGCATAATTGTTCATGTGTCCATTCTTAATACAATAGGCGAGACGAAAAATCGTATTGTGGTTATAAACTCTGACGGTTGCTGTTTGAAAACTATCCTGGAAGATGCTTCATATTGTTATTGAAACGAAGCCAGCCCATCGTCTTCGTAACACATGTTTCGTGTTCTCTTTCTTTTGTCGCACATGTAAATGTTGAACATGACTATTGTATCCTGTCGAACGTCTCTGCTCCAAATAGTGTATCTCCGTTATGCATTCTACTTGTGAAACACATTTAACATCCATTGTCTTTGTATCCTTGGCCTTAAAGTCTGTTATATAACATAAGTAATAGCAGCTCATGTCATCATCTCTATCTATGCTCGATGTCAGAAATATGTCTTAAACTCAATATGGCTAAGACTCTGTCTTTGTAAATTTGATCTCGGAACCATCGTCTACTAGTCCTGTCAACTGCTATAAATGAAGGCATGTTTATTTATGTCAACTTCTGTGATTAAGATTTTATACTTTTTCATTTCCTCTTGAGTAGATCCTTTTCGGCTTTCATTTATTTTTAAACCGATAATGAAACTATTATATATACATAATTTCTGTCATCCTTGTTCTCACCTAAATAACCATTCTATTCTGCTTTTACCCCCGCCTCTGGTAGGTTCCGTCTACACTAGCTGTGAATTCTATATAATTAGCTCCCTTTTTTAAAAATACTTTATAGTTAGGCTTCGAAGTTTACTAATGAAAAAAAGCAGGGGATTTAAGGATTTTGAGATAATACACTAGTCAGTCAAGACGTCCTGTCAGGAACGAGGGAGGAACGAGACAGGCAGGATAGGACAGAGAATGAATAGCTTCTTGAAGCAGGTTATCTATTTAAGAATAAGAGGGAGGAAAGAAACGAGAAGATGATTATGAAATATATCTGATAAAGAAAACTGGGAGAAGTGAAATTTATCAGCTATATTTATAGAGAAAGAAATACAAGAAATTAAATAAAAAAATAAGCAATGACAAGAGTTAGTCATAGCTTATGTGGATCATGACAAAGGATTCGAAGAGCTGACAGATCAATGACGAATCTTGAGTCTGAAAGCTGGTTACTCATATTGCATATTTGGGGCATAAGATGTAACGGGATCATGACACGTCCATAACAAACTGTGTTTATTGTATCACGCTTCAGACAAAACCCCTTTTGATGAAGTTACTTTGATATACATAATCTCCAAATTAATGGATTTTCCAATAACTAGGGATGGGTGTGTCTTTCTGTGCATGTGTTATAACTTGATTTTGATTATGGTCATCTTTATTTAAAACGCCATGATAGGACGACATGTCGTCCAAAAAAAAAAAAAAAAAAAAAAAAAACAAACAAACAAAAAAACAAACAAAAACAAACAAAAACAAACAAAAAAAATTGACGTAATTTAAATAAGCAGACAATTCAACTCCAAGTAACTAAAGGTCGGATAAAAATATATTACATGTACTAGCATATCTTCTTTTAACTTTTTTATACCTTTTTATTCATTAAAAATATTTATTTTAAAACAAACATTTCCAAATGTCTGATATAAATATTACACTCACCAATTCTGTTTGTAAAATTGAACTTGACGTTACCGAGATCAATCAAATTCTAGCTGCGCTGTCTGATCAGGTCAAAAATCAATTTGCACGAAACATCACCGATGAAGATGTAAATATGATACAAAAAAGTTTCGTCGAACAAAGTGGTAAAGCATATCCTTCCCAAATTCTGATAATCTTGACTGAATCAGTTTTTTTTTGTATATTTTCTTTAGCTCGTGATCGAATCACCGAGTCGGTAAAAAGATCCCAAGTGATTGAATATCATGATCAGCTTGGTAAACGAACGATTGACCCAAATTCCGAAGAGTCTATAGGAAAGAAGGTCTCTGATAGAGTAAATGTACTGCTACAACGTTTACACACAAAAGACTGGCAGTTATTTTGCAAGGATATTCCCGATGAGCAACAAAAGCCACCTCCAGTCCCAATTTTACAACGTGATTTATAAATCAAACGAATTCAGTTGAAGTCACTGGCACGATCGTTGAAGCATGATTTGATTGACCTGGACCAACCTGACGTGTTAAAAAACTCGAAGGATATCCCGGAAAATGATAGGGATTTTTACATGTTGTGCCTGGAAAAGCTTGCGAATGACAAGGGATTCCAAATATACCAGTGTAAGAGAATTTGGGTGCCAAAAGCTTGTTAACGGAGATCTTTAAAAGTGACAACCAAACACACAAAAGAAGGGTAGCAGTAAAAAAATCTTAAGTGGTTTATTTCATCAATATCGTTAACAAGGTAAAAAAAATGTAGAATCAACAAGATCCTGATAGTTCAGACTCTATCAATGACGCTTTCGAAGATGTGGGTCGCGATGAGTCCCCCATCATAGCAGACGTGGTGTAAGTTTCTTTTATTGTTTTTCATGTATGATATATGTGTACTCATATGCGATAATTATTTTGTATACAGTTCTGCTCCACCAGAGGTAGCGAATGAATCTTCACGTAAAAGAACCAGAAGAAGATAATAGTCGGGTCTGTCGACATGATTGGTCCATTCTGGTTTATAGCTTCTTTATTATTGTCTATTCTAGCGTTCTTTTAGCTTACGATGTTTCTCTTTTTCTTTTACTTTTATTTATCTTTTAAAATAAATAGCCTTCAAATAACGATGATAAGGGTATATAGCCCCTTCAAAATAACAGAAAGTGTAAACAAATATGTTGGATTCGGGTATGTTTGTAATGACTGAAGCAATGACATGTAAACTGAATAATAAACTAAAAGGGGTTGGTTTTTAGATAAAACATTTAGCTTATTTTTGTTATTTTGATCCAACTAAACTACGTCTGTATAATATAACTATTTTCCATATATAATGGTCATCATCAATAGACGGTTCTATCTTTACCAGAAAATAGCCTTTAAAAAGTCATGTTTTATTCTTATTGATATCATACTGCTTACATATAGACTATTTATTCGGTGTACCTCTCACTCAAACGACGACATTTTAGGAACACTACCGGTCAAGTAATCATCGACATTAGAACTTAAGGCTTGTAATAAAATGCAGAATTAATTATAATATTATTATTTTCTAACAATTGCTTTATAGAGTGTCAAGAGAGTCAAAGGTAAGCTAAAGTAACATACAAGCATCATAATGGTATATCTTATTGTCATGTATACAACCACAAACTTGGCTAAAGTTATATCAAACCCTCGTATACACCACTGAAGTATAAATAAACAATCCAATAAAACGTGCTATACTGCCAATAATGACAATGTATAAGAAAATGTGAGCCTACGAAATATAAAAGAATGGGTCTAAAAGAAATCTTAAGGGTTTGTCCGTTTATAACAAATGCAAACCGTGAACGTTTGGTTATTATAGAATATCATAACTGCCACTTTTACAAGCCAGGAAAATGGAAGCTGTGAAGGATTTGTCTTCAACAAACTAAAATAGATGCCATTTTTTAAAACCAAAAAACAGCAGCTGTGAACCTGTTGGATTCATTCAACTGTTAAAGGTGCCCCATTTTTGCCAACCAAATATATGGCAGCTGTGCCTCTTTTGTTATTATAGAATATCAAATCTGCCACTTTTGCACGCTGAAAAAATTGCTGTTTTGAGAAGTAAATGGCAGATATTTGCCATTATTTCCGCCATAGTGTATATGTATATAAGTTTTATTATATGTTTAAAAATAAATGAAAGCCGAAAAAGATCTTTTAAGAAAAAATGAAAATGTATAAGGTCTTAATCACAGAATTACACATAAATAAACATGCCTTTATTTATAACAGTTGACAGGACTAGTAGATGATGGTTCCGAGATCAAATTTAAAGAGACAGAATCTTAGTCATATTGAGTTTAAGACATATTTCTGACATCGGGCATAGATAGAGATGATGACATGAGCTGCTATTACTTATGTTATATAACAGACTTTAAGGCCAAGGATACAAAGACAATGGATGTTAAATGTGTTTCACAAGTAGAATGCATAACGGAGATACACTATTTGGAGCAGAGACGTTCGACAGGATACAATAGTCATGTTCAACATTTACATGTGCGACAAAAGAAAGAGAACACGAAACATGTGTTACGAAGACGATGGGCTGGCTTCGTTTCAATAACAATATGAAGCATCTTCCAGGATAGTTTTCAAACTGCAACCATCAGAGTTTATAACCACAATACGATTTTACGTCTCGCCTATTGTATTAAGAATGGACACATGAACAATTATGCATACACTATAAAGTAGAACGATAAGCGACATTTCAAGAATGGTTTGAAATAAAACTCTTTATTAAGAATAAAGGAAAGGTGGTAATTTTGTCTTGGGGAAGGAATAATGTTTTTGTCATAAACACGTGCACTGTATTTATACGCGTTAATTTGCATGGGAAGAACTACTATAGGTTTAAGCTATATAATTGGACGAGGCGGTTTGTTTTATTGGTAAGATTAAGTAATCAGAGTTGATAATCCAAGATTGGCGAAATTTAATAGAGATTGAGAAGGTGAATAATGTGATAGAGCGAACGCCAGACCAAAATTAACGTGAACGATGCCTTTGAAAAGATCCTTTGAAGCTGATAGGGGATACTGACATATAATTTAGTTCAATGTTGTATACGTTTTTTGAAGAGAGAGGTATTTACCTATGTAATGTTTGTTCCCAGCAACTACAAGACCTTTTGGGGAAGACAAGATATCACCGCTTTGGTTTGTTTTAGAAGGTATAAGGTCGTTCTCAGGATTTCAATCTTGTCTTGTGCCTAACAACTAGAACCATAAAGTTATTCGTTTGGCAATGATTAATATATTATGCAGAGTACTTACCAAAAGCGTGAACACCAGGTGAAGCAATCAATATGAAGGAGAGAACCGAAACGCGTTAGGCGCTTAAAATACTGATAGCAAACATAAGACTACCGAAAAAAAAAGCCTATAAACTCTCAACGGACCTAAATCTACTTGAAGAGAGCGTTTGAACTATTCAGCAAACTAAGTAGCTAATACGTAGGATGGCAGAAAAGGCATTATTTGCCTAACGTGCTTGTAACCAGCTTCGCATTACTAAGTACTACAGACTATTAATTCTCAACGGACCTAAGTCGACTTGGAGAGAGTTTTTAAAGTATAACCGTTCGTCAGGGCATCCTTCAGCCCATACAAGTTTTACCAGATTACGCATTCCCCGATGGCAACAGCAATTTAATCAATAGGCGTAGGAGAGATCCCGAAGAATGAAGAAGAATTCAGAATGAGTAATTGTTATAAATGAAAGAAAGTTCGAGAGAAAAATTAAGTCAACAAATACCCCAGTTATTTTCTACCTCTAAAAAACCCAGTCACACCTGAAAACCATTTTGGCTCAATTTTCCTCAAGTTTTCGTCCCATATAGACGGGTCTCCCGCTCCCCCAAGAATACGGCTGATAGTATTAAGCTTGAAAGCGCTAATATCTTGAAAAACAGTATGCTTTTTCTTTAAACAGCGCAATTTTTAAGGAGTGATAAAAAAATTGGGGGTGCGGGGTAAATTCCACCCAAGAATACGGCTCATAGTATTAACGTTGTCCTTTATATTTTTCTAAAACTTGTCAAATAATAGTGCAAATTGTGCGTCCTGTGGTCAAAAAGGTCATAGTCGTAGATCCCACCTAGATGTTCCTTTAAATACAGTAAACCTAAATACGAATGTAGTCATCTCTCCTTTTTTTTTTTTTTTTTTTTTTTTTTTTTTTTTTTTTTATTTGAAAATACTGACATTTTTTTAGGTGCCATCTTCATTGAATAACCATGATAATGCACTAAATAACCCAACCTCAATTCCTGTGGTACAGCAAAAAGAAAATTTTTTGTAAGCATTTTAACTAAGATTGATTCCAAATAGGACATAGAGGTAGACGAACCCGAGTTCATTTCAACCCATGAGCCAGTCCAAGAAAGAATTGTCCGCTGTTCAACATGTCAACAACTTGGGCATTTAAGAAAAACTAGCCTTTTGTGCCGCCAGAATAGTATTCGTGCCCACCAGACTATAAATCAAGCAAAGCAAACGGAAATACTGCCCAGTAGACATGGTTTGGAAGAATGACGACGATGTGTACGGAATGCAAGGCATTCATGTGGGTCGAAGAAAGGTCAGAAAGCCGTCTTCATACTGGCAGCTTTCAACTCTGTAGTGAATTGGGAAATAAAAGAGACAACAGTTCATCCTAAACCTGGACTTATATCCAACTTATTACGCGAAAATGATCAAAGAAACAGGGAGTTTAAAAAACACATGCGGTCTAACCACAATGCCTTAAGCTTTACTTCCATGGGTATCAATAGGGACGAATCTGTTCAGAACTCTCGCGGCTGGGCGTATGCTTCTCGAATTCATGGCAATATTTATGACCGAATTGGATTGTTGCTCCCATCCAACAATGTTGCATCATCATTTGCTCAAATTTATGTTTTTGATGGTTAACATGGGATTGAAAATTGACACCGTGTTGCAAGCCATGTCGAAATCAACACGTTAAAAGACTTACAAAATTTTAATGCATGATATCAATCCTATAGTCAGACACTTTAGGACAATGAACCAATATTTGATTGAGAATTCGGATTACGTTGCAGATCTGGCACTGGTATTCCAGGCAGTAGAATTCCCAGATCCACGAAGACATAGTTCACCAACGAGTTCGATTGAAGTTGGGATATTAATTTTGGGCTGTGACAATAGACCGGAAGGGGATTATATTAGGGTTAGGGATATTAGTATTATACCCCAAAATCAGGGTCAAAGTAAGTGTATCAACGAGTTACACCAGACATACGATCCAATGTCTTACGCTTTGATATTCCCAACAGATCAATCGGGATGGCATAAAGAATGTGTATCTGATAACGGTTTAAAAGTCACTAAAATGCAATTTTATAGTTTCCATCTCCGGTTTAGAAACTGGGGGCATGATCTCCGGCTTTATGGAAACCGATTCCATCAGTGTAATGTGGTTATGTACGCTAAGATTGGCCAGTTTCGTTTAAACTTTATAAGAAATAACCAGTCAAGTCTTTGAACCGAACTTTACCTTGTTTTAAAAGATGATGTTGCACGTGATGTCAATGATACGAGCTCTAATTGTCGAAAACTTATTCTTCGAAGCTCCTTCATTGGTGGGCCGCAACATATGTCCCAGTTGTATCAAGATGCCACTAGTATTATTAGACGTTTTGGAAAGCATGATTTTTTATTTCTTTTACCTGTAATCTTACATGGCATGAAATCCCAAGCGAGTTGTTGTATAGTCAAACTGCTACAGACAGACCTGATCTTTGCCCAAGATTTTTTCGATTAACGTATAAAAGTCTTCTTAAGAATATCAGCAAAGATTATATTCTTGGTGTAGTCGTTGAATATGTTTGTGTGATCTAGTTTCAGAAAAGAGGTTTATCTCATGCTTACAGTTTGTTTATTGTGAGACCTGAAAACAGACCTAGCTCGACCAATGATTTTGAAAATATTAATTACGCTGAGATTTCAAATGATGAGCAACATCCCTTAGCGTATCATACGGTCACAAACAACATGATGCACGGTCGATGTGGTGCATTAAATCCCAGATCCATTTGCATAAAAGATGGAAAGTGCTTAAAGGGCTACCACAAAAATTGTACTCTTACTACAACAACAGCAAATTCCGGCTATGTTATTTAAAGAAGAAGACGAGATGTTATAAGCGTTGGAAAAGAAAATAAAATGGCATTGGATAATATATGGTTTGTACCTCACAACATTTATTTCTGTACGAAATACGATGCCCATATAAATTTCCAAATATACAACATCGTTTCTACTGTAAAGTATCTTTATAAGTATGTTTATAAAGGTCCGATAGAGCAAGTGTTCAAGTAAGTAGTAATGGACAGCAAAATAATATGATATGTCAGGACAAAATCGATAGGTTCACAGACGCGAGATATGTTTTTCCACCCGAAGGGATTTGGAGAATATTTGGGCTCTCATTGCATAAAGAATTTTCAGCGCATACGCGATTAAGCATTCATCATCCTGGGCGACAAATGGTGTATTTTTTGGAGAATGCTAATCTTAGTGATGTTCGTGCAAATGCAGCCAGTAAAGACACTATTTTGACAGCTTGGTTTAGCATAAGCCGTAGCGATCCAGATACCTATCATTATTTATATCATTAGTCTCTGGAGCAGTATACTTGGAAAAAAGTGAGAAAAAGACAAATAGGTTTTCGTCAAACCACAGGCGGTATCTACCCTGTTTCACCAAAAGAGGCCGAAAACTATTATTTGCGGCTTTTATTGGGCAATATCGAACCGCCGAACAGTTTTAAGAGATAAGAACTGTAGATGGTGTAGTATACAAAACTTATCAAGCTGCTTCCCGTGCAAAACATCTACTTGCGGATGACGACCAATGAGAT